CCTGGTATTAAAATGTGCTTGTATTAAAAAGTATACTGATTTGTTTTGTTTAAAATATACCAGGGCCTGTAAGGACATTTTGGAAAAGTTAAGTGTTCTTATCATATTTGTTAGTGTTCCAAGGTAGAGAATGTTTCAGAGGAAGTCATCTGGACTCTGCTTTTGAAAATCAAGTTTAACAGTGAAACTGCCCAGCACTTGTTTACTAGTTAACCTATTATTGTAATTTAGAATCAGAATAAGATTTATTGCTATTGTAAGTGAACAAAATACACAATCACCACTGCTGAGTACCTGCATTTGATAGACTTGACCTCTCACTAGTCCATACTGTTAGAATGCTGTTGTAGAGAGCGGTTAATTATCTTAATCCAACATTTCTCTTCTAGGAGGGATTCTTTTTCTTCACCTCTTTTTCAAAGCAGCCCTTCTGCTTAAATTCTGCACCTCACGGTGAATATCGTTGGCAAAGGAGGTGCACCTCAGAGGCTGAATAACTTGTGTTGTTTAGTGTTGTGGTTGTTTGGTCTCCCCAATGTCCTGCTCACTGCATTCTTCTGAACTACAGTCAATATAAAGTGAATATAAAAGTTAATGTCTGTTTTTGTGTTGGCGTCTTACTCTTGTGATGAACCAGTTTCTGTCTCTGTGTTGACTGGTTTAAAATACACAGCAATATTCACATTGTTCAATTAGTGGATCTTTGGTGCCTGTTACGTTTTTTTTGCACAAAATAAATCTGATCACAAAAAAGACCTGTCATTATCAGTGTTTTTTTTTTTTTAAATGAATGAGAGAAAGGATTTTTTACTCATATTTCGTATTTCCAATATGAGAGGGTGTCCTCCAGCATAGGCCTGTAACGATAATAAACAAATCAATTAATCATACGATAACTTTTAACGAGCATGATAACTTTTCCGGCCACGATAAATTCTGTTTGCATGTTGTTGTTTTTTCCTCGCTCTTTCTCACTCTCAAAGAGGGTGAATGTTAGAAGCTTCTATCGCTCTGATTCCTCTTGTTTAACAAGTGTAATGACGCTTGAACCAACGTGCACTGTGTTTATCAACACAGACGCAGCCCGAGTGCAGAAAGCGCCGCTGTCTGTGCAGCTAAAAATGAAGCCACAACACAAGAGCCGCTGTCAGAACCAAAACAGTTCATTGCCGAGTGCCAAAACAAATCACGATGCTGAATCAACTCAACAGCCACATGCGTCAAATGTTGAGAGTGTGCAAACGATGAGAAGAAATGTTTCAAACCCCAACAGCTGATAAACCCAACCCCGAGTGACAGAACTAGCCCCGCCCCCAGGAGAACCCGAAATCCACTGAAATCCCACAAGACACTGACACGACACCAGACAGGACAGAGACTCCCTCAGAGCCAAACAGGATCCTGTGTCGAGGGTTAATAAAAACATTTAAATGACCAAAATGACGGGGCCACAGCAGCAGCCACAGAGAGAGTGACCACTATATACCATGTCAGTGACTAAAATCACTTTTAAGGGCAATTTTGTTACAGAGACTTAATAATTCATTTATTTATTGCTTTGGTTGTATTTGGTTCAAAAGTGGTTTATTCAAGTGCATTTTTGTGAACAAGTCCTCGCTGTGAGTCACACACATTAGGCTAGTCCTATGTTAACAAGTCTGTTTTATTTAGGTCTGTTGTTTTTTATTGTCTTTCAGTTCCTGTGTTAAATGTTCTTTAGAGAGTAAGGTTTATTGATCTTTGAAAGGGTGTATTTGCATTTTTATTCATTCATGGTCATTATAACAGTTGAAATTGGTCTCAAAATGTCAATATTATCATTTATCACAATAAATTATTGGTCAGTTAATTGTCCTGCAAAATCTGTTATCGTTACAGGCCTACTTCAGGGGTGTTCTTTCTCACTTTGGCTGTTTATTGCCTTTTTGTGGAGGTTGTTCTGTCAGTGCATGAAAATAGATTATTAAAAAGGAAAAACCATCTAATTATGGCATCATATGCATTTAAAAAATAGATTTGTTTATTGTTTTATTGAATATATATTTAGAAACATATCACGTCTACATTACTTGATTGCTTTAATTAACGTGGAATTGTTTGAAAGTTGGTCCTATTTTAAACCAGTATGATCCCCATCAGTAATACAGGATGTGGTCAGAGGAGAAACACATTTTTATTTTGGCAAAATTACGGTCATGGCCTTCTTCAGAAAAAATGCACAATCCACAAAATACCCAAAAATATACACAAAAAAATACCCCAAAATCCACAAAAAATACACAACATATACAAAATCCACAAAAAATCCACAAAAAAATATTTTATTCTTATTGTTGAATTTTTACATTATTTTTTTAACCCGAATTTGCAAAAAATAAAATAAAAAAAAATTAATTAATTAATAAAAAAAAAATAGAAAAAAAAACAAAACAAACAAAAAACATATTTGACTTTAATTTCTGCATAATTCCTACGTAAAATAACAACATTTTCTTATTTATTTCTTGTTTTCTTAATTCTGACGTCAGAATACAGTACTGTGTCGTTTTTGGGTTGCATGGAGGTCCCCCTGCTGGTGGCGCTGTGGTGCCCTATCCTGACTCTCGCATATGTAACACTGTCTTCAACCTAAAAAAAAAAAGAACAAAAAACACAAAAATTAATAATTACACTAACGCATGTCTCCACTTAAAGGTCATGATGGAACTTTTCTGGTGTTGCCTGAAATGATCTGCACTGTGACCCGAAAATGATGTATCTCTGCGGAGCCAAGCAGGTGACACTACTACACCATGTTACAGGTCAAATCTGTGGAGCGGTGAGCCTGCATTGTTTGCTCTGGCATTTCTAAGCCATAAAAACACATACAGTGAAATGAACAATGCAAAAAACACCAGAAAAGTTAAACAAGACAATATAACAGCACTAATCTAAATAATTGAAAATGATAATAAAATCATTAAACCTTGTTGTCTTCGGGAGAGTCCAGACTGCACAGAGCTCTTCCTGTAAAATAAACACACGGCTTTGTTTCTGTGGAGTTGATAGTGCTGACACTTTTCTGAATGACAACTGTACCTGGAGTTTGTTTGTCAAACTTCTTGCAGCTCACGAGCACCAGGGCAAGAACAGACACCACAAATGCAATGGAGACCACAATCAGAGCGATGGAGCTTTGACTCAGATGCACTGGAAGATTCTCTGTAATCAGAAACAATTTTATCAACAGCAGAATTGGATTTATATGAAGGTGATAAGAGGAGCTTTTTAATTGGATAAGAACATCCATCAAGAGATATCTTTTTTTTTTTTTTTACATTTCTGAATATGGCTCAGGTTTGTTTCCTGTAACTGAAGTGTAAGCAGAATGCAACCCCCTTTTATGTTTTGTTTTGTTTTGAGCACCATTCTTACAAATAAAGTTCCAGTCATTTGAAACATTTAAACTAAAGGTGTGAATGTTTTAAATAACTTGGTCATAGTGATTTCTTATAACAATAATAATAACTTTGAATTCTTGCACTCATATGTAGATCATATGAGAATTTGAGTTAATACAAACAGAAAAATGCTCCAAACCACACAGATCTAATCTCTGATCTGCTAAACCAGCAACCAATCACCATGTAACGTCCTTTAAGAGCGTTTGGAAAGAGACAAGTCTTCATTTGTGCTGCTCTGGTGGGAGGGGCCACGTACAGAGACGCTGGAGACGCTGCTATTCTAAGAAAATTACCAATATTCTACTAGAAAATATAATTAAAATATTTTAGTAGAAAATCAGCCGAGGGCCAGATTAAAGGTCTTGGAGGGCCGGATCTGGCCCCTGGGCCTTATGTTGTATGTATGACACCCGTGCTCTAGTAGATTCAAATCAGATCATTTCATTTTGTGAACGTTGAGACGTACGATTGTTCTGAGATGGTTTATCCAAAGAGAAACATACACACACTAAAGAGCCTACGAAATACTAAAGTCAACCAAATACTAAAAGGCCTATTATGTGTTATTGGAAGAAAGATGATAGATCTACTGCAAGTCAGTGAATACAGCAGATGCCCTCCCACTGGACAAGATAACATCTGTACTGAAAGGCAAACACAAGGTCCTTTTTTGGGGTTTACTGATTGTATGTCAGGGTGGCTTTGGGTGTGTGATGTGTTCTGTGTGCGCTGATATATTCCTAGACTTTTGGAATATGTTGTGAATCATTTAAGTAACAGCAGAATTGGATTTATACATTATCTATATATAGATTTGCCATCTATATGTTGAAAAATTGCATCTTTATAAAACTCAAAAGTGGTATTGTTTGATGTTGACACAAATATTCTGGTATCAGGTGAGGATACATAAATATAGGCGAGTTTCACCTGACGTCATTGTTATTAAAAGCCCGCGTTGCATGCTGGGAAATATTTTGGTCGGAAGCAAGAAACACGGTAGCGGTCAAACACAGTGTGTAACCTCACGTATTTATCCCCGATAATGGTAAAATTCCTGCTGCATTATCAGATGCACAAATAGAAGCACGGAAGAAGGAAAATATCTTTTTCGTATTCCGAGTGAAAAGAACCACTAATGGTGAATTAAATGACTTTCAAACATCCGCAGAGCAAACGTAGAAGATCCTAACAAACCGTGGACTCCAACAAGTTCAACAACACATCGAGACTCTTGGAGGTTTTCATCTTTTCTGCTGTGAATGGCCCAGGAGTTTCCACCAAGTCATTGTGGATATCGCCCAAGTGAATATTTGTCCAGGTAGTTGGTGATTCTGACCAGAAATTTGGTTTGGTCCACCTTTTGTCGGGGTTGAAAAGGGTGATTTGGCTCCATCGATGCTTATGACCAATTTCTGGTCAAATGGTCTTGGGTCCTCTGCCGTTAGAGTGGATAAATAACCGGGATCAATACCCTTTACGTGCTTTCTCGCTCCGTCCGTCATGTTGAATTAGTGTTTCTTGCCACCGACCACAATAATTCCCAGCATGCAACACACGCTTTTGTCAACAATGAAATTCGCCTATACAGCACCTCAACAATCACCTCGGATCAAATTTAGCAATGGTCTGACAATAATAAGCTCTCACTAAATCTAAATAAAACTAAAGTTATGTTACTGGAAAAGTCAAACCAAATGATTCAAATCCAAGTGCAAATTGTTGGCGTAAGTGTGGAAAGAGTAACTGAAAACAAATTCCTTGCTATAATAAAAATGAAATTAATAATTATGTCAGTCTTGACAAAAGCAAAGCAAATCCTGAACAAAAAAAATAAATAAATCACTTCTTTCCCTGCATATTCCCTCATTCTGCTACACTTATCAATGTGTTTAGAGTTATGGAGGAACAAAAATAGGTTTACAGCCACTGCGTGTAATACAGAAACATACTCTAAAACAGGAGTGTCAAACTCAAATTCAAAGAGAACAAAATTAAAAATTGGAACTAAGTCGTGGGCCAAACTAAATATTTATTGAAAAATTTCAACAACATCTGCATGCTTTCTGTTCTTTCAAGATATGTAATGTTAAACCTTTTCTTTTAAATACATGTTTAATAATAATTTTGCTTAAATGCTGAATCCAGAACAATCAGAATATAAAATAATAACAACATTTTTAATAAATAATGTGTCTATAGTCAATCTGTAGCCGGTGGGCAGCTCTAATACAGATTTGATATGATCTCAAATATAATTATATCGCAGGTCAAATTTGGTCCCCGGACCTGAGTTTGACATGTCTGCTCGAAGAATTAGTCACAAAGCAAGTTTTAATGTGTATACTAACAGAACATAATATCCACTATTCACTAGTTTAAAAGGATCAAAGTAGATGATCTTTTGGTATTAAAACTGCACAGATTTTTTAAAGCTGGTAATAAAGCCAAACACAGTCCATGTTCAGTGATATATATGATGATGAACAGCTGAATATATATGTATAAAGTGTAAACCTCTGTTTGTTGTTATATTAACTTGCCATTTTAACTTTGTGAAGTGGTGAATTTTTCAGTGTTTTGGTCATGGTGTCAATAATTGTAAATGTAAAACTGAGATGACTCTTATGTTAAAAATGGACCCGGTCAATCAGAAGTAAACAGCAAGGCCAAGTTAATGCATCTGATATAAAAATGTATTCAACAGATACATATGTACTCTAGTTTATGAAACTGTTGACCTTTGTTCTGTACCATTTTTGGTTCTAAAGTTACATCTGTTTTAAACAGACCATGTATGAAACATGGAACAAAAATTATTTCCCAAATTTCAAAGACCTGCAAATCATGTCAATAAATGGATGTATTTCATCATATCTTGTGTTATTCCATCTTTGAACTGTTGATGAAGGTACAGGATTTTTTTTTTTTTTTTTATGTATTTAAAATGATAAAAATTTGCTTGGAAGGACTGACATATTTTATAGAAATAGTTTCCTTTCATTTCAAGTAATTTTAAAGTATTTGGAAGAAAAAAGTTGACAAATGATGTAAAATCCTGCACCTTCTACTTGTTTGCACAATTTTCCCTCCGTTACTTTTCCCTCCGTTACCATGACCTTTCTTAATAAAAAATCTCATTACTCAAAAAGTAAGAGGTTTTCCAACCTAATCTTGTACCATATGGTAGAAAACTATATGAAGCAAATATTCAAACCAGTTTGTTAAGGATATGGAAGTGAGAACCAAGAGTTATCACTGTTTGGATTTATTGTCCAAAAAGTGCTGCATATTTCATTCCCTCTGTTACCGACATGAGTTTTTAAATTTTTTGTCAACAACTTGAAAGAATATCACAGGTTTAACTTGACCCTGTTGGAGTGTAACTCTTTCCTACATTCTGATACTTTACTTCTTTCAATAGTCCCTCTAGTTTCTGAATAAGAGACATTTGAATGTAAAAAATCTGCCCCTGTTTCCCTCCGTTACTACTTGACCGGACCCAAATGTTCATTATTTATGACTAAATGAAACATATGCAGTAGTGATAGAGGTTCAAACTCATCTGATCTTATATAACAGTAAACTTTTCACACCAAGTACCATCTAAAATCATATTTGGCTTTCAGAGTACTGTTGGATCTAAAGACTAAACCACGGATAAGGTGGTTCTAAATAATGATTTACACAGGAGCACAAAAACATAGATAGATTTGTCTCTAATCATAATAAATACTGAAATTACAGCCACTGGATTGTCTACAATTCCACAGAGCCTCATTGTTTGTATAATGACAAATAAGAGACTTGACTTACTGTACATTTCTATCCTTGTTCCAGAACCAAGCATCGTGTTTCCACAGGCAGTCACCACACAGAGAAAAGTCCCATTTTCAGCTGAACCAACTTCTGTCAGGGTCAGGTTATGAACACATGAAGTTTCTCCAGCGTCCTCACAGTTCATACTGATGTTCTCAAAGTTCCATGAAACAGTTTGAGAACCACTTTTAATCCAAGTGACACTGGTATGTTCTTGTGGACAGAGGCTGGGGTTAAATGAACAGCTGAGAGTCACAGAGTCTCCAGGCTGCACTCTGATATAGTCTGGACTCTGGAGCACAGACTGCATGAGCTTTGACTCTCCTTCAACCACCACAACTGTTCCTGATCCAAACTCCACATCTTTCTGGCTCAAAACTCCACAGTAGTACGTACCAGCATCGCCCCACTCTGCAGCCAATATCGTCAAAGTACTGGAAAAATCGGATGACTTAACAGAGTAACGACTTCTAAACTTTTCAGAGACTGTACTGTAGCTCGACGTGAGCTGCTGCAGTGTCCTGTTGTTGCTCAGTTTGTACCACACGCTGGTTTCCAAGTTTTCATTAATGAGGCACATAATTTCAACCTCTTCTCCAAATTTCACTTTATGAATCCTCGGTTGAATGATACTCCCCCAAGTCCCACCTGAGAAGATAAAAACTATGCTTAGTCTGTTTTAAAATATAGAAAATCTTGTTAAAATCTTAAAGGATTAGTTACTTACATAGAGACCACAGCAGGAAAACACTGAAAGCATTCAGAATCATCATCGTGTCTGTTGGTGAACGACAAAGACTGTGACTGTCCGACGTCAGTGGAGACTATATGAAGGTGAAAAGAGGAGCTTTCTGATTGGATAAGAACACCCATCAAGAGATATCTGCAGTCAGCCTATCTTTTTTTTTTTTTTTTTTTTTAACACTCTGAATATGGCTCAGGTTTGTTTCCTGTAACTGAAGTGTAAGCAGAATGCAACACGTTTTTTTGTTTTGTTTTGTGCACCATTCTTACAAATAAAGTTCCAGTCAGGTGTGAATGATCATAGTGATTTCTTATAACAATAATAATCTTGAATAATTGCACTCATATGTAGATCATATGAGATTTAGAGTTAATACAAACAGAAAAATGCTCCAAACCACACAGATCTAATCTCTGATCTGCTAAACCAGCAACCAATCACCATGTTTGTGTCGGGGCAGCGTGTTCTAATCTTAAATCTTATCTGTAAGACAAATACTGGTCTGTGAGACATGAAACTTTGTGTGGTCAGAAATAGAGGTGTACTTCAGCAGGGTGTATTTCATTTGAGCTGACTATTATCAGACGCTCTAGTAGATTCAGATCAGATCATTTCATTTTGAGAAAGCTGAGACCCATATGTTTGTTCTGAGATGGTTTATCCAAAGGGAAATATACACACACTAAAGAGCCTACCAAATACTAAAAGGCCTATTATGTGTTATTGGAAGAAAGATGATAGATCTACTGCAAGTCAGTGAATACAGCAGATGCCCTCCCATTGGACAAGATAACATCTGTACTGAAAGGCAAACACAAGGTCCTTTTTTGGGGTTTATTGATTGTATGTCAGGGTGGTTTTGGGTGTGTGATGTGTTCTGTGTGTGCTGATAATCATGCAATATTCCTAGACTTTTGGAATATGTTGTGAATCATTTAAATAACCTGGTCAGATTGAAAGCTTGTATCTAATCTTTTCTGTAAGACTGGAGTCTGTACGACAGGAGTCTCCAGCCTTTTTCCTCTGGTGAGTTAAATTGATGTCACAAAAATGACAGAGAGCTACTAGTTTCAGGGGTCACAAAAAGTGTTCTTGTGTACATTGGTAACAGGCATTTATTGAATCATATTGTACTTACTCAGCATTATACCTGTAATTCAGAAATCCCTTGGCGAGCTACTTGGAAGGGGGTGGAGAGCTACCGCTAGCTCCTGAGATACAGGACATAGAATCTTTCTGTAGTCATAAATAGAAGTGTACACTTGACAGGGTTCAATCTCATTTGAGTTGCCTACAGATGAGCATTTAAGGCAGTGTGAAATTGAAATATATCATTTTTTCAATGGGCAAAACTGGCCTGTCCTGTTGAGCAGGAGCCAGGAGAGAGGCCCGGGCAGAAGCCGATGGGTCACTGTGGACTTCCTTGTTCTCTTACTGCCTGGGCAAACTGTCAGGGGAGATCACTCAGACCAAACCCTAACTGCAAGTGCAGTGTGGTGCAAGACTTAGACTTAGTCTTTAAAATCAATGAGCTCGGCCACACTGACCTGGGTAGAGCACAAGAGCATGTCTGGGTAAGACATGTCTCTGTGGAAAGAATCAGTCTGGCTGTTTTCACCTTATTAGACATAATCACATGAACCCACATGTGAAACACTAAATATTTATTCATTTTCTTCCTGATAAAAAAGACAAAAAAACAAACAAACATGAGATGTACATTAACAAAATGAACTTATGCATGTACAAACAAAACATCATCCTCTCTTTCCACATTCAGTGTAGGAGTCAGACTCCCACTGCACCACTTCATTCCATTTTACAGTTTTTCACTTGAGAATACACTACAACTGTGTTGAGACTGTGGAGGATGGAGGTCCCTCTGCAGGCGGCACCTCGGGGTGCTGTCCTAACTCCAGCATATGTAACACTGTCTTCAGCCTGAAACAAAGACACACACATGTGTAAACAGCACAGTGCTGCTCAATATTCTTGCCTTGCACTAATGTGAATATGAAACATATGCAGTAGTGATAGAGGTTCAAACTCATCTGATCTTATATAACAGTAAACTTTTCACACCAAGTACCATCTAAAATCATATTTGGCTTTCAGAGTACTGTTGGATCTAAAGACTAAACCACGGATAAGGTGGTTCTAAATAATGATTTACACAGGAGCACAAAAACATAGATAGATTTGTCTCTAATCATAATAAATACTGAAATTACAGCCACTGGATTCTCTACAGTTCCACAGAGCCTCATTGTTTGTATAATGACAAATAAGAGACTTGACTTACTGTACATTTCTATCCTTGTTCCAGATCCAAGCATCGTGTTTCCACAGGCAGTCACCACACAGAGAAAAGTCCCATTTTCAGCTGAACCAACTTCTGTCAGGATCAGGTTATGAACACATGAAGTTTCTCCGTCTTCTCTCACCTCACAGTTCATACTGATGTTCTCAAAGTTCCATGAAACAGTTTGAGAACCACTTTTAATCCAAGTGACACTGGTATGTTCTTGTGGACAGAGGCTGGTGTTAAATGAACAGCTGAGAGTCACAGAGTCTCCTGGCTGCACTCTGATATATTCTGGACTCTGGAGCACAGACTGCATGAGCTTTGACTCTCCTTCAACCACCAGAGCTGTTCCTGATCCAAACGTCACATCTTCCAGGTTCAAAACTCCACAGTAGTACGTACCATCATCCCCCCACTCTGCATTCAATATCTTCAAAGTACTGACCACAGGGAACAACTTAACAGAGAAACGATTTCTAAACTTCTCAGAGACAGTACTGTGATTAAACAAGACATCAGTAGAAGCGAGCAGCTCTAATCTCCTGTTGTGTGTCAGTTTGTACCACACGCTGGTTCTCCCACTGCTGTAAAAGTGACATGTAATTTCCACCGTTTCTCCAACTTTCGCTCTTTGAAAAGAAATTCTTTGAAGGACTTCAGGCTCCAAAGCTGCACCTGAGAAGATAAAGAAGTATGCTTATTAGGTCTAAAAATCATTGAAAATCTTTTAAGTAAGACATTTATATCTTAGATGGATTAGCTACTTACTCAGGGACCAAAGCAGGAAAACACTAAAAGCATTCAGAATCATCATCATGTCTGTTGGTGAAAGACAGATTGTGACTGGCCGACATCAGTGCAGGCTATATGAAGGTGATAGAGGAGCTTTCTGATTGGTTAAGAAAAGCCATCACGTGTCATGTGATAGGCTGACTGCAAAATTTCCTTTGGTTTGTTAAAAATAGCTTCTGTAAGACACAATGAAATGTGTGAATATTGCTATGGTTTATTGTACTGTACCTTAGATGATTGTCACTGTACAATCTCTTACTCTATTGGAGGCAAATGTTTTTTCCATAGACACCTGAAAGAAATTAAACAAGATTTGTGAATCTTTTAAATAACTTGATCATAGTGATTTATAAATTGATAACTTCTAATTATTGCATTTAGGTAGATCATGATATGAATAAGAGTAGATAAAAACAGATGTCGTGTTTAAAGCTCAAAACCACACAGTGAGATGGAGTCTTTTGTCTGCTACACTGGACTAAGATTGTATCTAATCTGTTCTGTGAGACTGGTGGTCTGTACCACATGGAAACTTTCTGTGGTCATATATACAAGTGCACACCTGCAGCGTCTTATCTCATTTGAGTTGCCTATTGATGAGCAGTTAAGGTGTTTCTAATCTAAAAAAAAAGGTCAGTTCAGTTATTATATTACAATTCTTATTAAATCATTTGACTTATTCCCTTAGAAATAAAACAGTTTTGTTCAAAAGAAAATGAAACAGCATATTGAAAACAAGTTAAATTTCAAACAAAGCCGATGTTGTTTAAAATAATAATAATAATTATAATAATAATAAAACAATTTTAAAAAGTAATGTAAGATAAGAGAACCTTTTGTAGAATGAGCTGTGGGAAACATATACATGCGGCGCTGTAGTCTATAATAGTCTTTATAAAAGGGGAGTTTTTCCCGTCAGTTGCTCTCTCATTTCACTCACTTTAAGCCTCCCCGATGTCTAGCCCGTTCTTAGTTGAGGCAGGCAACCCTCAAGGAGAGGGACAGAGACAAACTCAGGCCAGTCCAAAAGGAGCTTAAAAAGACACTCTGGCGGGACTACAAAAATAAAGTGGAGAGTAGACTGTGACTCAACAGCATCCGAGAAGTGTGGAATGGGATGAGGAACATCACTGGCTCTAAGAAGAACAGCCAGAGCACAGTCGGTGATGTGAGCAGGGCAAATGAACTGAACCAATTCTTTAATAGGTTTAATTATCCTGTGACTGCTGTGCCTACTCCAGTAACACCACATGGTGGCGCTATCTCTCCTCTGCTTGCAGTTCCACCCAAATCTATGACCGCTGTCCCTATAACATCCACAGCCTCCCTTTCCATCAGTGCTGCTGAATAAGTGAGTAAATCCAGGGGTCCCAGGTGTGGCACTCACTGTGCAGGAGGTGAGGACTAAGCTTAAAAGGCTGTGCCCAGGTAAAGCTCCAGGTCCAGTTAAAGCTCCAGGTCCAGGTAAAGCTCTAGGTCCAGTTAAAGCTCCAGGTCCAGGTAAAGCTCTAGGTCCAGGTAAAGCTCCAGGTCCAGGTAAAGCTCTAGGTCCAGGTAAAGCTCCAGGTCCAGGTAAAGCTCCAGGTCCAGGTAAAGCTCCAGGTCCAGGTAAAGCTCCAGGTCCAGATGCTGTGTGTCCCAGACTACTCAAAGACTGCGGGTCAGTTAGCTCCACAGCTGCACAGGATTTTCCACCAAAGTCTGGAGACACGGAGAGTCCCGATGCTGTGGAAAACATTCTATCTTGTGCCAGTACGTAAAGTTGGTCGTCCAGCAGAGATGAATGACTATAGACCAGTAGCACTTACCTCGCACATTATGAAGACTCTGGAGCGGCTTTTTCTGCACCCCATTAACCAGAGGTGAAACATGGAATGGATCCCCTTTAGTTTGGTTACCATGGGGGGAATTGGAGTGGAGGATGCGATCATCTAGATGCTCCA